CCGAATCGAATGATATTTATCTATTTTGGAAATTGTGCTAGTTATAGCGGGCTAAGGATAACAATGTTATGGGAGCGTTGATTGCCCTATTCGCAATAGTTCAACGTTTTCAGGGTTGGAAAGCTAGGAGGCCATAAGTTTGGGGTGACCTGATAGTGCAGATTGTGACTCATCCTTTCCTTGATCATCTTGACCTTATGAGATAATGCAGAATCGTCTTGATAGGTGTACGAATTTCCTATGCTGACTCTCTCTATTCAAGGCCAGACAACCCACTTGAACACCAGCATTGACCCTTACGTCCCGAGGAAAGACGTACGAAGGCATGACATCTGCCTCGTTCCTCACGACTCAAAAACCGTCAGAGTTGCCGGAAACATTGTGTGCATCACTGGCGGAACGTCCTTAGGGTATCTGCCTAACCATATCTTACTCGTTCGGTTGACCTTTTTGCCCTGATCAAAGTTTTTTTTTTTTTTGTAATCAAAGAATTACAGGCTTTTGATATTTCAACTTACTCAGCAATCACTTTGCGCGTCCCAGACAGTTATCTTTTGTCTTAGCAGAAATATTCTGGCCTCTCCGAATCACATATGATTTGCATCGAAAGTCCTCATACAAAATTCATCTGACAGTGACTTGAAACCTAGAGCTCATTAACAATAGCGTTTATTGATTTTATGTTTTTTTTTATCGATAATTTTCTGAGCCTTTCTTATAAATTTCGGGGGGGGTTATAATTGTATTAGGACCAAGAGGAGGCATTTTCCATTTGGCTACTGCTGCAGAATCCTTGTCAGCGATTTCCGGTTCTTTTAAAGGAAAGCCAGCAATCTCTAAATCCCCATACCCTGCCTTTAAGTTAACTATTACAGCAAGAATTTTCATTTACTGAATTAGCTTAATATTTGTCGTCATTCACTTGAAAAGAAATGATAATCTGGACAAGTTATAAAAAATTTGGAGGTAATATAAGAAATGTACAAACCTGTAGAATTGAGATTTTGTAAACGTAGCTTAGATCCGATACAAGGCCGAAAGTAAGGATCGTACTCACTATTCAGTCGTAAATTGATCTAGCGAGATAAGCTTGTTAACCATTACATCGTGCCAAAGTTCTCAGATGATCTTCTAAGCAAAAGTGTGGAACACCCAATGAGGATCGTACTCACTATTCAGTCTTAAATTGATCTAGCGAGAGCAACCCCTATGTCACTATTTTAATTCATTTTTCAGTGTTTGAAGCCGGCACAGACACACATGCAGTTAATTTGAACTTTATATATAAGATATATACATCATATATATAAGTGTTGAACTATTACGAATGGAGCAATCAACGCTCCCATAACATTATAACATATCCTTAGTCCGCCATAACTAGCACAATTTCTAAAATAGATAAATATCATTCGATTCGGGAATGTCAAAGTTTCAGACCTCGTATTGAATCAGTCATCGATACTAATGGTGGATTCTTTACGTAGCTACATCAAGACGAAGCTCAAAATTATTCATGGCTATTTTCTCTCAAGCTCTTTTTACATGACTTATGCGTCTTTTACTAAAATGTACAAAAAAAAACGAGCAACCCTGTTTATGTCACTATTTTAATTCATTTTTCATGTTTTCAAGCAGATACAAACTCACATGCAGTTAATTTAAACTTTATATATAAGATATATATCATATATCTACCGAGATAATATACATTCTCGATTTTCATGTCTCTTCAAGAAGTAATACACAGGAGATAAAAACGTCTAGAGAAGTACAGGCTGCGTATGTGCGTGCTTTTGCATCCTTGTAGGGATTCGGCACCAATATATGTATGCTGCATAAAATATTTCAATCTGAAATCCTTCCTCTTTGCAAACAAGCTTGCTAACCATCGTGTCAAAGTTCCCAAATGATCTTCTAAGTGAAAGTGTGGAGTACCCAATGAGGATCGAAATCTCTATTCGAAATCACTATTTGACAAGATTGTTAATTATAACACCAGTTCGTAGAATACAATTACTATTAATATTGTGCCAGTGTTTTATATATTGCTTAAATTTGCAGTCCATACTTTAAAATTCTCCTTTTTTGAAAAAATTACCTGTTTTGTAATTGATCAATATTCTGCGTATTCATGAACTTTTACCTCCACCCCCAACTCGAGCCACACTTGATCTACACAGGCATATTGTACCCTTTGGAATCAGGATGATCCCGGGATTGAAAATCTGTCTGTTATCTAGCTCTTGAACATCCAGCATTTGGGATCTGTGTCAAGATGGATACGCAGTTGTTAAAAATTCAAATTTTAAAATAACTGAAAAAAAAATGTGTGATTTTAAATTTTTTTAATTCATATTGATTTTAAAATAACACAAAAAAACATCGTGAATTTAAGTTAATGCTTTAGATTCAATTTAAAATATCTCCAAAAGCTTGTGAACTGAGGAAATCAATTTTGTTTCTTCAAAATACCAAGGAATCAGGGTTAAAAATGAAA